TCAGCCTGGCATTTCTAATACAACTCTTCTTCCAAAAATTTTTGAATTGCTAAAGCATGATGTACCGTGACGCTTGTGCTGTTCCTTGCAACTTCTGTTTTTGTTTATTGCTCTCTAAGACTTGCTGTCATGCATCATATCCACAATGGCTGCGAGGCTATGCCTGCAGGTCTGCACAAAGTCAGCTTAAAAGAGAACAATACTTCATTTTAAAATTAAATCTAAACTGACTTTGTTTCTATTAAGTAGATGCAATCTGTCTTTTTTTTTTTTTTCTCTTCTTCAAAAGGAGAATCATAGAATCATTATGGTTGGAAGAGACCTCAAAGATCATCAAGTCCAACCGTACACCTGATGCCACCCTGTCCACTAAACCATGTCTTGAAGTGCCACATCTAGACGTTTTTTGAACGTCTCCAGGGACGATGACTCCACCACCTCCCTAGGGAGCCTGTTCCAATGCCTAACGACTCGTAACAGTGAAGAAGTTCTTTCTAATGTCCAGCCTGAACCTCCCCTGGCGCAACTTGAGAAAAACGAAAGCAAAGGATTTTTTTAACTACTAATGATTTCTGGAGAGAAGGAAATGAGCAGAGCTGGAACTGCTTTGGAAGTGTTCTCCCATGAGGGGGAGCATTGAGAACAGATGGCAGAATCACAGAATGCTTTAGGTGGGAAGGGACCTTTGAAGATCCAACCCCCTGCCAGGGACACCTTCCACTGGATTGGGGTGCTCGAAGCCCCGTCCAGCCTGGCCTTGAACACTCCCAGGGATGGGGCATCCACAGCTTCTCTGGGCAACCTGTGCCACTGCCTCACCACCCTCACCGGGAAGAATTTCTTCCTTATATCTGATCTAAATCTACCCTCTTTCAGTTTAAAACTGTGACCCCCGGTCCTATCACTTCAGGCCCTGGTACAAAAAGTCTCTTTCCATCTTTCTTATAGGCCCCCTTTAAGTATTGAAAGGTCTCCCCGGAGCCTTCTCTTCTCCAGGCTGGACAACCCCAACTCCCTCTGCCTCTCTCCATCAGAGAGGTGTTCCAGCCCCCGCATCACTTTCGTGGCCCTCAGCTCGACCTGCTCTCTGCGTTCAGGAGCTTTCAAAAAACCTGTGCTCATGTTCCTCCTTCTTTTTGTTTTCCCTTTTTTGTTCCTTAAAATCAATTCTTTTTGCCCCAAAGGGAAGCCTAGCACACCCACCAGCCGCCAAACCCAGGGCTGTAGCCCCGGTCCTGGCCCGGTGCCGGCGCAGAGGATGGCTGAGAGCACACATCTCTTGGCAAGGGTGAGGGTAACCACAGCTCAAAGGCTGTTACTATTTGCTGTTTGTCTTTGGGTTGTGTGGGCTATTTAATAATGGTCCAAGATGTAAATGTATGGGGGCAAAGATAATTTTCTTTATCAGACTTCCAGGTTACACTGGTTTAAAGCTGCCATTAGAGACTGGGGAGTTGTTCCTCAGAGCTGTCTCTTTATCTTCTAATTCCACATTTTACATTTTTTGCCTTTAACCAGAAACTTTCTCAGAAAACTTTTGTCCCTTGAGAAAACTTACTTGTTATCACCAGGCATCCCAAAATAGCACTTACATGCCTTTTTTCTCTTTGTCCCCTGCCATACCAAAACTCCCGGGCTTATCTTTCACACCGATACTCTGGGAACTGGATGGGAGAGGTCAGTTTTCAAGTGCGAGACTCAAGCAAAGAAGAAAAACCCCAAACCCTCTTACATGTTTGTGGTAAGAGATGTATTCAAGAATACAAAGTTTGAAGACAGACCTGGATTTGTGTCACCCAAATTTGAGAGTGCTGCAGCTGTACGCTGTACTCCAGAGGTACGTGTTAAGTATAAACGTGAAATGCCCCTGTTGTTGGGAGCTGTTTGGGTGCGAGGGTCTCCTTCTGCCACTGCTCTTTGGGTGGCCTTGAGGAAATCTCTGTGGCAAAGCTACTTGCATCAGCGTGCTGGTGATGGACAAGACAAATTTTGATTAGTTATTCTAACCAAGCCTTCTTTTATCTTTCTGATCTTTTTAAGCATTATCTTAAAATGTTATAAGGACAAGAAATGTAACTGTTTGCTTTGGTTGGTATTTATTAGATGAGAATATCTCTTGTCCTGGGTGGATTTCCATGAAAATATTTCCTTAAGCATCGTATCAGGATGCCATTTAAAATTGACTGAATAATCAAATAATGTCCTGCTGTGGCAGGCCTATAAACTGGATGGATTTTCCTTTCCACTTGATAACAATTATTATTTTTTTTAAAGCAAGAAAGCTAATATTTTTGTAGCACGATACAGCATTTTCATGACATTTCCTTGAGCTGTTGAAGCTTCTTTCTGACGGATCTACTCCCACGTAGAAAGCATCAAGAGAAAAATATAAAATCTTGTTTTGATTAAATCTTCCTTATGTCAGGCAAGTATGCCCTCCTGCCGTTGCTGTGTAAGCAGAGATGCTGCTTGTCAGGATTCATAAAAGGAAGGAAACAGGGAACAGTTCCAGCTGCTTTGCACTAAGATGAACATAGAGCTTTAATCACAACACATCTGAGGCCCTCTGCTTCCCCTACTACCCCCAGAAAATAGTTACAGGAGGGAATTACCTCTAAAGTAATGGTTTTACGCAGAGTGGGAGGATGAAGAGAGGTTTCGCACTTCCCCGTCAGTGCCGAATCGTGCAGCACCTTGCTTTGCATCACCCGCGGGGCTGGGCAGCGTCTGTCCGATGCGCCCATCGGGGC